CAAAAACAGCACATTGCATTGGGGCCACTTAGGCTAACATTTCTGGGTAAATAAATAATTTAATGAAACCCGCATGTACACACGATACACAGCAAGTAATAAAATTACTAAGCACTAATTCTCGGTATACGACGTCGACAAATCTATGAATACCATACGAAATCAGCGCTAGCTACGTACACAGTTCGGCGACTACGGTCGAACCGACCGACCGAGCAATGTAGTCGTTTTTTTATTACATGCCTTCATCCGCGCGCCGTTTAAACACACACTTTAGAATAGGAACATCCGAGAATATTTGCGGTCCAGTGAGCCATGTACGGACCGTCACCAATAGCAACAGAGAAGTCCAATGATCAAAGAAATGTTGTTTGCTTGGAGAAAATTTAAACTCGATCATTTTGACTTGTGGAGTACTTTTTATCGCGAAGATAGCGCTCAAAACCACACTTCATGTTGGCGAGGGAAGCTGGCTTATATTCGTCTCCGTCCTTCTTCTTTATGCTGATGAAAAATTTGCCCAGAAGCTCATTCAACTCGACCGGTGGCATGTCTTCGAGGCGCCGCAATATTCTGAGTTAGCCACTTGGTACAGCGACGGACATCACGTTCGGTGATTTTAACGGTACTTTTTTTTTCTTTTTGTTTTTAATGTTTTTGTGCCAGGCGACAGTTCCGGACATTGAATGTCACTGTTGTCTCTCCTGACTTTTTTTTGTAAGTGCAAATTGCAAGTGCTAGTGCTGACACATAGTGTATTTTGCCACAGAAGTCATTTCCCGCTTGGAACTACATGACAGGGCTGTGTGACCACCTCCCTACCAAATGGCAATTGTAATGCGCTTTCCTGGCGTCAACCAGGCTCGGTCGAACACAAGCACCTGCGGACCTTAACCAAGGTTCCCCCAAAGTCGCATTAGTTAGTGAATGAATCTCGGTCAGTGGAATTAGTTTTCTCATTGAGTCTGTGGCACACTCACCCAGGGTAGGGGCCGACCCTTTGATGTTCAGCCTAAGGTAGGATTTGAACTCGGGTAAGTCATGAGTGAGATGCGACAACCACTATGTTTTATGCTACCAGTGACCGGTACTTTGCTTCTGGCGTGCTTTTATAAAACCGTTCACTCCGTCTGGTACTTCATTTTCTGGTGCTGGTCCAAGAATTTCATCAAGTTGGCCCGGTCCTATCGACCGCAACCACTGCATAATATCCATTTCGTCTGCTGCAGCCAATATCGTCTGCAGGTTGTCAAGGAAGCCGGTTAACAGGATGCGTAAACATATCCATCCGCAGTGCCAAACTTATCGATTAACGCGATTGCATGCAAAACTGTTACTGCTTATGAAAAATGTACTTTTTACCAATAAGAATTACCTTTAAACATTAATATATAAACCCTGTATTCTTTATGTTATTAAAGGCATGCAATAACAATATTACAGCCCGAATATGGGCGTCAGTGCCCTCGCGCAATGAGATCATTTGCCCTCCTAACGTCGGGCACAAACGCCCATATTCAGGCAGTAATGTATATTGATGATCATCTCGCGGTTACAAGTATTCACATGGAACGTAACATTGTGACACCAATGGTGTATATCATTCTACTTTTTTCCTACGATATTTTGATCTTCATTATTATCAAGTAGCAGCTTGCATGATTTGTTTGACTTAAATGTCAAACATATCAACCATATGTATTTTGGTCTATCATATTAATATTACTGTCTACTGGAGTGTTCGCTACAATTATTCATATTTTATTAGGTTTTGGATTAAACATTCTGACTCCTGATGCTTGCGTTTTTGTCGGCTCAAAACGTATAGCAGTGTCTAGTACAATAGTCAGTGACATTGACTGTATGAATTTTGATTTCTTTCTTTTGTATTTTTATTTTTTTAATCTTGCATGATATATATCCATAATTTCCGTGGCTTCTTGTTTTTTTCGTCGTGAAAAAATCCTTACGTTTGTCTACAGCTCTTCCGTAATATCCCCTGTATTAGGCATTTCATACATATAGATAATATACCTTGCAGCAGTCATCATATGGTACAGTAGTCTGACTGTAGTTTGTAAAAACGGTAATTAAATGTAAAGCGGACAACTTTCGAACAACACTCATAACTGGCACAGTAAATAAAGCGAAATAAAATACAATTTGTATAATTTATTTGACTTTACTGAATCGCTCGATTTAGCAACATTACGTTACAAATATCAGGGATTGATTTTGCAAAGATACTGTGAAGAATTTTGTATTGTGAAATGCTGAACATAGTAATTTTTTTTACGACTTTCTACCCATTTCACTAGAAATAAAGAAAAAAAATATGCAGTTCATTTCCAACAAGCATCAACAAGTTCTATAATAACACTAATTGGTAGAAATAAAATCATGTTTAAAAAAATCGCGTGGTGCGTTGCTCAAGGAATCATTCAACACATCCACTACGACCATGTGTTTTTCAAATGGGTATCGGAGATTTGTTTGTAATAAAACAGAATTATGTAACATTTTAAATAGCTAAACATATTTTTGAATAATCAACCACGATACTTTTGTTACATAGGTTATTACATAGATATTGATTCTAAATATCAGCCCATAACATTACTTCTGATTTCTGTCCATTGTTTTGTTTTCTTACGTTCAGATTTCCAAGGTTCGCAATCGACTAAACAGCTCAGATGTTTAGATGAAATCATCTCGGAACATTTTATTTGAGATATTGTAAATTGCCTTTTTGAGTATTTTTGAGTATATTTAGTAATTATGCTAATGTTACATCCTCCATTGATAGTTTCACATTGTCGTTGGTCTTATCGGGGATAGTCTCGCTATAAGTAACATTTTCAAACCCGGTTGCCATCTCCTCATTCTTTTTAGAATGCGATAATCCTGGCATTGACGACTTCAACGGAAAGCGACCGGAATAGAAAAGAAAGGTAATCGCAACCACTCCGACAACGACCAAGAGGACAACCAATATAATTCCAATAATAGCCCCAGAGCTTAGATCGCCTGTGATAACAAGAAAACAAATGTTTAACATAAAAGTGTAAAAAATAATTTTAAAAGTTAACGTTTTAACATAATTTTTGGTGAATTATAGGAATTTTACTCACCGGTACTTTCAAGTTTCTGAGGGTTTTCAACTGATCCTACAAAATAATGTTTATTGTTAGAACATAGACTGTGTATTAGGGAAATTATCGTACTGTACAAGTAAAAAAATATACAACCGTGCAAAGAATATGTTATGATCAAATCATTTGAGTATGTTCTTCAGAAAACAAATAAAATGCGAATATGATTTGCAAATTTGCGTGAACTAGTTCTAAAGAACATAACATATATAACATTTTGAAATAATCACTAGAGGCGTATTTACTATTCACCGATAGACGACTTTATAATTTTAGTATCACATTTGCTCCTAATGCAATCTGCTCCTTGTCGGGATTGCAATATACACCATACCACTACAGGTCGATTTACATGTTTTATTTGAAATTCCGCTGAAAGGTTTCACTGGGTTCGTATACCTGATTGTGCGCGTCATGCAGAATATTTAACAGTGACGTAATCAGACAGATTATGACACGCGCCAGAAATCCGTAAATTGCCAATTTTCTACTTATATTCACAAAACATCAGTGAAAATTGCAATACTAATTTCTATTAAGTGAATCATGTCATTAACATATCGCGTTGCACGTTTCAGTTTCAGATACCCTGGCCCTGATAATTAAGTTATAATTAAATGGCAGCAGCTGCAATTTTGATTTTTATGTTTAAATATAACTACATAAGGATTGACAAATTTTACGGAATAAATCCGGTTGCAAGGTCAAAATGACCCGATTAAAGGCTAATGTTACATAAAAAAAGAAGTGGAAACTAAGGGTCGAGTAGTCCACGTCTACGACCACGTGATGGAGATCACAGAAAGTGATGACGTACGACGCACATTATTGTTGGGTAGAACACATAAACTCACTAGTGAGAGGCCGTCAAAGAGAGCCTTTGGCTCTCAAGATTGTGACGTATTTGGCATTTCGCCCTGGGCTAAACAGCAATTTATCAACTTGTACTGTAATCCCCGAGGTTCGCTTCACAAAACTGGATTTCAATAGATTGCGCCCTCTATTTAAACGTATTTTAGCAGGTTTAGCAGCTATTTCAATCTCGATAAAAACATTCGAGTATGATTTTATTTCATGAAATAAAAACCTAGTTTTGACAGAAATCGTCACAGTATTCGTTTGATGAACTACTGATCCTGGATATCGTCTTTTTAGTTTCTTTACGGTAATATCACACGTGGGTCTATGGTTTATTGACTGATGTTGATCCTGCACTAACCTGGGATTGTTGTGTATCCCGGATGTGGAGGCTGCGTGGGGCCATCTGCATCTATGAAAAAGAAAACACGATTACTTCTTTGTCACATGAAAGTGTATATTTACTTTACAATCAGCATGACGTCACATTTTCATTACATACCTTTATGTCGTTTGCATACAAATCCCAAACCATAACTAAGATAACAATCTACGTCATTCCAATTTCCAGAGTTTGATCTCATTTCACCGCAGTTTTCTTCTGAATTGATAAAATTTGGCTCACCATCACCCCAGTGATCATATGCCAAAGGGCTCTTGTCAACCCATTCAAAACCACCTAGGAAAAAAAAGAATACAGAACCGTCCGTACACGAGAGGGTGCGTCTATACGCATCAATGCGTTGACAGTATACTGAACTGACTGAGTCTTCTGCTCCCTCTGTTGTGTTATGTTTGCTTGCCCGTTAAATATTCTCTTTACGCGAGGGCACAGGCGTCCATACCCGGGATATAGTAGTTGTATGCCATGCCTCTCAGATGATATTCATGATTGTTACTTTCCAAAACAAATCCATCCATTGCCTTTACGAACGTCATTATCATGAACAACCAATATGTACACAGCAACAAGTACTAAATATACACGGACACGCTTGATATACGCATCACAGAACCACATAATACCCCGGATGTGTTATATCATATATCGAATTCGACATGAATGAATAATGAAGAATGCATTGGGCTTAAACAGTCGCCAATTGTATAGTCCTTGCATATCAATTGAAGTAAGTCGGGTGGTTCACTCAAAATACAAAAAATGGGATATGAACTGCAACCGATGAAGATAAATGTTATTTGCCTTGCCCAAAAGGCGTTAGATAAGCACACACTGATTTTACCAAAAATGGTGACATGATAATGGGAATACCTAATTGGGTTCTCGTTAAACCGATCCAAATGTTGTTGTTATTCTCGTTTATACGACTCTGTATATATTGGTTTTCTGCTTCACTGTGAATGGTGACAAGGTAACCATCGATACGTTGGCACTCGTACGAAGCTTCAGGCCAGCTCTTCCTCTCTTGCACACCGGCAAAACTGTAACAGTGATTTGCATATTCAATCCACGTACTCCCTGTTGGACAAGAACCGTGGCTAGGTTTGGGCGTAGTAGGCTGGGTTCCTGTGGAAACATAAATAATATAAATATATTGTTGTGAGTAATACAACTGTGGTATGTACAAAGAACGTCTAAATGTTATGAAATCAAAACACAGAAGGTTACATGTAAACTCACTTTGGGGTGTCTCGCATACCAGGAAACTATCGTATTTTGATTTGAGTAAGTAATGTACATTCCAAATTGACTAAAAGTGTATTTTTATCTTGAGTTCGCATGTATGTTGCTGTGTAACCAATCGTGGTGAGCGCATTACCTGTCCAATATTTACACATTGCGATCCCTGTAGACGAACACAGTGTGTCATTCCATGATCCAGATAATTCCATTCGTACGCATCCTTCCCCAGAATCTTTGCTTGGTTCACCATCTCCCCATCTTGTGTATACAACTGGCGTTCCATCAGTCCATCTGTATACACCTTCGGTCTATTTTGGTGACAAATTCGAGACATGATTAACATCCAAGTTAGTAAGAAACACAGAAAGTTATCCACGTTGCATTCAATGTCATGTGTATTTTATTCTTGAAATTTATTCTTAAAATTGAATGTGTTGACGTAGTTACTTTAGGTATATGTATTGCCATGGAGAAGTATTGAGTTTCAAACCATATGTGATGTATACATTTTGAAATCAACTACTGAAGTGCCAATAGAATTAATAACACGATACACGGATGCACCCAAAACACGGATGGACAATACTAGACATGTATAATTCTATACGTTGAAAGACGCTCAAGTTATAAATATACAAAAGAACTCCTTACTGATTGGTCGTTTAGTCCTATCCATAATGGTTGGTTATAGAGGAGGGAATACATCTCCACATACGAGTGTTCGTATATATCTTCAATACTGATAAGATCGGCGTCATCGTTCAAGCAGAGATTCCTGGCAACATCATATGTATACTGTGACTGTATCACTTTGTAACATCCTTTATAATATGATACATAGCCAGGCTTACAGGGGTTTATTGTAGGTACCGGAACAGGGTTACTGTAATCTGTGACACGTGGTATACAGTTGGTTATTTATATACATATATACCTGTTCTATTTTTATAGAAGAACCTTACCAAATAAAAGAAATTCTAATATTTAAAAAAAATAAGAATTGGTCACTAAACCATGTACTTTCACATTCAAGCAAGAAAAGAGACACCTTGATGAACTAGCTTTGCACCGTAAACAGAAATCAATTTGATTCCACGTTTTTAGAAGACACCGCAATATCAAATTTTGATTTGGACTATACCATTTCAAGCTGCAGGGTGTCTAAACAATGACCCAATCTGATTAAAATCTGATGTAGTGTACGGGCTTTAATTATTTTGGCTATAAACTTATTTTAATTTTATTTTTTATTACTTTTGTTATTAATGCCCTTTTATTTTATTATTTTACTTTGATTTTGATTTTGTGATTTTTTTTTAATTTCGCCCTACCTACATCTGATCCGACGCCTATGTAAGTCCCGTT